TACTCAACTGCCACTAAACTCTGACGTTGAAAACGAGAAGGTTTTCGAAACGTCAATTCTTCTTCCTTACCTTTGGGCGATGATGAACGCGATGACATATCTGGACCCCGAATCTTTCGGCATTTAAATAGGGGTGTGTAAATAGACTGAAAACAGAAACTTCAACGTTATGCGTTTAAGAAGCTTGGATTGGATAACTCTTTCTGCGGCAAACAAATCTTACGTTGACACTAACTCTGCCCCTCGTTCCAGCCCTAATGCTTTCTCCATTCCCAATCTTTAAGCCAACTCGAACCTTGCACCTAACTTTAAACTTAACCCTCCCATTATGCATTTATTGAAGTTGGCCAGAGACGTTACCCTCATATAACACACCTACCTAAATCAAATAAGCAGGCATGCCATTATACTAAAAAGAAGAGAGCCACAAAACATTCGAGGAAGAGGGTAAGGCGTATGTATAATTACAAATCCAACTTTTAATGCCATTAATTGAAATCTTGGTTGAGAGCGCGTCAATTTCTAATCGATTGACGTCCTCCTACTCCGATAATTTACCCTTTGATGTAGCATTTCGGCAGATTATATTGTGAAAAGTTCACTCCCTGGGATTTACGTTTCAAGACAGTTGTTGGCTTCGAATATGCCTTCTGGCGTGATTCTCCTAAACCAGAAGCATTTATATGTACTCTGCTGTTTCAGAGAAAAGTCTTCTTGTATCAATTCCTCATGGCTCAGCCTTTTGCGTTGGTTCATTCATCTGACCGTTGAAACTGACACATATTTGCCTTTCAATTATAATTTTTGCTGAAATAAACGTTATATGACTAGTGCACCCTCTTCATTTGCGCAGTGCTTGTCCATACGGTAGTGTATTTTGGTGTATGCATGTCATATTTTCAGCTCCTAATGCGAAACGGATTCAGAGAGTGGACTGACGCAGAGTAGAGTAAAGAGAAAAGGAGAGATCGCCCCTACGAGGGGGAGGGTATTACAATAAATCCCTCACTGAGGGGCGTTAGCATTTTCATGATGCACTTATGAGTCATAGTTCACGGGCTCCCATTCTATAAGCAGGTTCACCGACCTGCTCAAT